AGGACAACAGATAGAGGAAGAAAATGCCTGCCTCATTGGACCTGAGACCTTTCTGTGTAAAAATTATCAGATCTTTTTAGAATAAAAAATATATTAAATAATTCCTAAATATTTCGGATACGTACGCCCTTATTGAATTAACCCAAATTTCAACAAAACAAATTATTTAATTACAATATTTGAGGATTATATGTGTAAGTTACCATGGTGATAGCAGTCCTGAATAATAACTGCAACAAAGAGGATCAAAAGGTGCTTCATCTCTGTGAACTGTCGACCTTAACACTTTCACCTTCTTATATATATAGAGCTGTCTTTATTCTTTTATAATGCATAATCACGGAGAACCTCTTTGGAAATATTCTATTACACGTTTAGAATTCAGTATTTTCAAATAAACACTAAGCGGATCCTCTCAGTACCATGGGCATAATAGAACTTTAAAGCCACATTAAATCTTCTTATACAAATTATAGATCTACCTGTACTTACCTTTAGAAAATCTTATTTAACATTTAATTATTTTTCTTTATAAAAATATTGGGTTTTCTAAGAATCAATAAAATAAAGAATCATTTTTAAAGGTCTTCTTCATTAAGATGTGGTCAGTTCAAAAATATTTCATGAACTAAACATACATTTCTTACATACATACTTATATAGAAATTTATGGGGGCAGTCTCGATTTAGTCATCTGGGTTTTAAAAATTATCAACAGGCTTGATCTAGCACCTCCTCCCCTCCTACCAATACCAATACCTTTTTGAACTGGATGTGAGATATTGATATATAAGAGGATATATAAGTTATATATTTTTATTTATGTAACTCATTATTCATAGATATATTTTGTCTTACTCCATAAAGCTTTATATCCTACAAGGATTGGATCTCTTCTAAAATCCTATTCCACCATTTCCTATCCTGTGGGCGAGCCTTCTCCATCCTTTGACTCCTGTCTCTTTTGACAAAAAAAAAAAAATCAAAATTATCATACCATGTTAAACTTGGACTCTCCTTTATACTCTTCCTTCTGGCGGTTTCTTGGTTATTCTATCCGCAGCCATTTACTCCACGTCTCAGTTTCCTCAACTGGTTATTTTTAATGAAAGACATTCGTTCCAGTTTCCCAAAAATTGTATTGAGCTCGTTATTTGTCCTTATCCTTCTGCTGTCATTCTCATAAATATGTCCCTATATTCTTCTTATAACTTTCCTTTCCAATATCCTTAATATAATTACACATTGCTTGGTAACCTCCCAAATGTACAACCGTATGACACTTCCAGTCTAATGATAGTTTTGGAAAAGGTGCGATTTAGCTTTGTTGATGTAGCCTCTGAATTCCAAAGGCTTTTAAAGAGGAAAAACCCCTGTTACTGCTCTACTCTTGCCTTAATTTCTTCTAGATGCTCGTTCCTTGCTGTATAAGAGTTACCAACTACTTAAACTGGCTGACCGTCTTAAAAGTGTGGCATCCAAAATTGATGTTGCCTTTCAGATCTATGCCATATTTAGACTATGGTCAATTTTTGGAAATGTCTTTTTGTCCAAGGATTATACTTTCCTAATCATCCCTTTGCTATCATTTAAGTAAGCAGATATAGTTTGCATCAGCGAGGTATTGAACAAGCAGTCAAATATCACTCCACCAACTCATTTTCCCCAGCCAAGAATACGTTCTGTAATCACTTTAAAATGTTAATTCCTCGTTGTAGCCAGTGTTAACTTATCCTGTTTACCTCCTATGAGTTCTTTGACTCTCATTACGACTATAGCTTGTTTGATGTTTCAGAGAGCTATTGCAGTCAGAACCACCTGCTGTCAGTTTAGCTAAATATGTATTTAATTTATTTATCAATGCGTAAGCACAAAAATAAAATTAAATACATAAAAGTTGTAGTTTGGTTTTAAACCTGTATTTTGATTTGAGGGCTCTACGTAAGTAAAAACCTACAAAAATATTGTTCCCTCCGAAAATTCAGAATACTGTAAACATTGCCACCTCTCCTCAAAAACTTTGATGGCGTAACATGTGTCATACATCGCCTTCTGGACAAATTATTAGGGTGATTGGATGGTGAGGTATAAGCCCAAGGAAGAGTTTCAAGTTGTGAAGCTTAAGTAACGTACCGTCTACGGACTCGGATCAATGACAAACTGTGGATTTAGGTAATACTGACCTCAGATTAGGGAAAGTTCAGAGCTTTAGGCCATCTAGATAACTCCAACTATCCTGGCAGTATTGGACTAATGCTTGTTTTCACTTCAAATTAATGCAAATTGAAGACCATATTGATCGCTAAAACCCAGTTACCAATCAGACCATATTCAAGCAGTAGATTAAGCATTACTATCACTGGTAGGAGGAAAAGATGGAGATTAAATATACATGGACCAGCTTTAATTAGTAAACTCCTTGATACATTACATGAAATAAATATTCTTATTTTTCCATCACAATGAAAAATGGTTAATATCCCCTTCATCCAGGCACATTCATATAAGTAATATGTGATAGAAAAAAAAGATAAGATAAGTAGTGCTATTCCAATATATCGAGTTAGTACAAACACCATGCATATTAGTCTATAATAGGCTCGCAAAAAGAATGGCTCAAACCGTAAATTTACTGGGTCATGTAGGGAGAGGATTATGGGGTCTCAGATACCCAACATCAAGACTATCTATAGAAGAGTTGTAGAAGGCATCCTGAGGTATCTTCCTTCAGGAATCAAATCTCACACTGCTAAGGAACTAAGGAATAATGTGGTAACGATCTAGAGAAAGACTCTGCTGCGCGTCACCCGATTGTGTCACCGAGAAAAGACGTTACGATGTTCAATGAAGCGGTGCAGGTCTTAAGATGTAGCATATCTCTTTACTTCTTTCTGCGAGAAGAAGTGATTAACTTTGTAAATAAAAGAGAAGACTTTACAAGACTTTCGGAGAATAGGCTAGGTTTATAGTTGGAATTAACAGATAGAAGAAGATGATTTAGGAAGACAGGATTGAGGAATGGGTAACTACTACAGGACTTAGGAATTAATTTCCAACTGTATAATTAAGGCAAAGTGGGGTAGTCAAGTTAAAGAGATTAGAACAAGAAGGTATAGGTCTTCAGCTTAAACCTACCATATTTCAGTTTCTTGGTGTTGACCTGCAAAATCCTGGTTAGTAGGTCTTAAACAAGAATAAGAAGAGAAACCGATTTTGGTATATTCAACCACATGACGTGGTCCATATCCACCAATTCTTTTTCAGTTTTTGCTAACTCCTGACGCTTACCTTGTGATTCCACCCTGTACAAACTGGAATGGGAGCGTCAAGATTCATTTTTTAGACCACCGAAAATAAATATTAATTGGTCAAGACGAAACGAAACATGTTTCGAAATGAAAAAAAAAATGTCCAAGGAAAGCAATATAGGTCCTGAAAAAACAGAAGCGCCAAAGATCTTAATCTTAGATTTGTGACTAAATGTCATACCACTCATCACGTCCTCGGGCCAACGGTTATTGTCTAGTCGAACTGCGAATTGAATTCTGAATTCTCCATAATCCGAACTCAGCCATTTTCTTTTCTGTTCCCTACAATCGCTTAGTCAAAATACTCGCCATGTTGTAAAAATAGTTTTCTTTTCTTCTTCTTCTTCTTCTTCTATATATATATATATATATATATATATATATATATATATATATATATATATATATTAGCGCTACAACCCACGTGGGGTTAAGGCCTCCTGTAACATCAATGGTTAGTCATTTATGTTCATAGCAGTGGATTTCCATTCTCGAATAGCAATGATCTATCATGCTTCAGCCGGTACATCATCAGTCCAACGCAATTTGGGTCTTCAAATTGGCCTCCACGTAGCTTTTCAATGAGGAGCTTCTTTGAAATTTGGCCATCCGGCACCACATGATCTTCTTTTAATATATGTCACTCTTGGTTCACAGACTGGTGCCAAATTCTGCGAAGGATTCGCTCGTATTGTAGTAAGACTTGTTAGATGGTTGTCTATTATTGGAACAATTAAAATATTTACAGATACCTAACAATTTTATTGCATTTCCTTTCGATTCCGAAAGTCTATTCACCTGATCGTACCCGTCAAATTGCTAGGGAAAAGTAAACTACCTTATAACCTCTAATTTCCTGTAATCAATCTGTCAATCTTTCTGATCTCTCTCACTAGGATGGAACTTCGGCAATCTCTATTTCCAAAATAAAAGTTTTTATTAAACTTCCGGCCTGGGGAAATTATATAGCTTTTGACCTTTTCAATATTGTCCTCAACAAACTCCTTGACTCCTTATCATCTCTCATTCCATCAATTCTTGTTGCTAGACTATACCGTAACCATTGTCTTGATGATGATCCACATGCTTGGGTCAAAAATTCAACAAGCCTAGAAAAAAACATATCCAGACAAGCCTATGTACCATTCTCATAGTTTAAAAAAAACATTTTCATGAACAAAATGTAAAAATGTTTTTTCACCTTCCGTTTTCGTTAGAATATTTGAGGAGGAGAACGTGTAATTGAATATTTCATGACTTCGTGATTATGCATGTTAGAATGAGAAGCTTGTGGTGTATAAAAGGCGGGGCAAAGGTTGAGGTCGACAGTTCATCGAGATGAAGCCTCAACTGATCTTGTTAGCATTAGCCATCTTCCAGGCAGCTTCAGCCCAATCCTATGGTATCTCATTTATATTATATTAGTTAACATATATAATATAAAATATAATATATTATATAATATACATTGACCATTTAAATTTATTTTATATCTCTGTATTAAAATATCCAGTTATAATAGTATTATGACATGAAATCAGGTTTTTTTTTGTATACCTTCCTCGAATGTCGATTTGATTTTAATAGTCAGAATCATTTACTTAATCAATAATAAAAAAATATTTAAAATGAAACATTTTCAGCCAATTATAGAAATCATAGGCTAATAATAAAAGATAATAAAATTTCTAGGTGGGTTTGGTCAAGCATCTGCCAATAGTAGAGCAGAAGGTGGCGCACAACTAGGCGGTTCAGGTGCTGGATTAAGTTTCGGTGGATCTTCAAAAGGCAGACCTCAGTCCCAAGTAGGTGCGCAATCTCAAGCACAGGCGGGAGGGCGGTTCGGAGCTGGTGGTCGTGGTGGAGGTGCTTCCGGCCAAGCTGCAGCTCAAGGTCAAGGACAGTTCGGTGGACAGTTTGGAGGAGCACAATCTCAAGGACAGGCTGGTGGACAGTTTGGAGGAGCTCAATCTCAAGGACAGGCTGGTGGACAGTTTGGAGGAGCACAATCTCAAGGACAGGCTGGTGGACAGTTTGGAGGAGCACAAGCAGCTGGACAGTCAGGTGGTTCTGGAAGACCTTCATACAGACCTGGACAAGGTCAAGCCGGCGGTGGAGCTCAGTCTGGTGCTGGATCCTACGGACAGTCTGGTGCTGGATCCTACGGACAGTCTGGTGCTGGATCCTACGGACAGTCTGGTGCAAAAGGACAAGCTGGCACGAAAGTAGGACTAGGTGGAGGAGCTTCCGGACAAGCAGGAGCTCAAAGTGATGCCAGCGCTGGAGCTCAAGGAGGAATCGCAGGAGGTGTAAAACAACAATCTGAGACAGGAATGAAATTCAGTAAAACCGAATCCAAACAAAGTCAATCAAGCAGCCATACCCAAGCAGAGATGTTTGGTGGATCATCATCCTTGAATCTCCCAGTGATTGGAGGAGTCCAGAGCCAAGGGTCCGCTTCTGCTGGAGCAGGTGGATCGGCTGGACAAGGGTCTGCAGAAGCAACTCAAGGGGAAGTTGAGGCTGAGGCTGGAGCAGAGGCCGATGTTGAAGCATAAATTAATTTAAACATTATAGTTCCTCTGATTAATATTTGATGAAATAGTTAATAAATTAATTAGAAACTATTATATGCATATTTATATACAATCATTCCTATAATGTTTTGCCTAAGTCCAATTTAATACTGGTTATTTTTAAGTACACCAGTTTCCCTGCACAATTTATTTATTTATGCTTTTATTAGTGACAATGTTGTTTACTTCTCTACCATAATTAATTAAAATACTTTGGAGATTGTGGCTGCTACCTGATAGCACTATCCTTTTTGTATTATCTATTTGAAATTTGCAAGTTAGATAGGCTACATATTTTTCATTTTTACAACTTCAAATAAACTTTGGAGAGTAAATGAAAAAAAGCATCTATAGTTGAGAAGTTGCCCTTAAAAAGGAAATTAGTGCTTAAAGTTTCAAAATGTATTTTTTCGCTTAAACAATGGTTTGTTCCAAGCAACCATCCAAAGAAATCTGCTAATTCATTTACAAAATTAGTAAGTAAATGTTTTCATTAACAATATATAAGACCTTGTAGATCTTTGGCCTCCTGAACCATCCTTCGCCCCCTCTGTCTATCTTGGACTACTGCTTTCCAGTTTGCGGCACGAAGCTCAGCCGTATCTTTATTTACCCTGTCTATCTGTTTATCCTATCTATCTATTTATCCTATATATATTGAGTATATTAATTAACACACCTTAACCAATATTCTCTTTCATCAGTATGGACCTCAACATCTCTTTGCGGTTTGCGCCAAGCCTTGTAAATTCCCAATGCCTCGGTCATTGTAACACCTATTAATCAAGGAGTACATATGCGGTTTCCAGTCTCAAATCGCAGTAGAGAGGTCTTTGTCTAAAATTAAATTTCTCGGCACAAATTTCTTCTTTTGGTCATAGTAACTCCATACATAATATAAAAATTGATGGGTCAGTTAACTATTTCTGCTAATACAAGGTAGGAATACAAGAAATACAAATTTAAAAATTAATTTATCATGATCAACGAAAGCAGTTCAATTAAGGGAATGTGATAATAAAATAAAAGTTGAAAACTTATACAATGTTTTATTTTATTGATTAGTTTTAGATCTGTAAGGCTTCGTTTTAAATTTTTTCTGTTACTTTTTACCTTTAAAATGCCGAGGTTCTTAATTATTTTTACAAATGTTTGCAGCCAGTAGCACTCTTGTTAACAGCTTATGTTATTAAGTAATTATCATTATACTATTTTTTTATTTCGATAATCCAAGAACAATAATGAATCTCGAAATCATTTTTTCGGATGACCAATAATTGCACGATCAAATATACGATTCGAGTTGGGTAGCATTATTTTGAAGGATCCTTGATTTTGGGCTTCTCCAATACATTGCAGTCGTGAAGATTATGATCCAACAAAAAAAAAAAAAAAAAAAAAAAAAAAAAAAAAGTATCTCTTAAAGTATTATTGTTGGTGTAATTACATTTAAAAGGGCTTTATGAATCACTTAAACACCATTTAATAAAGATAGTTAATTTCTTTCTTTTTTTTCCAAAGTAATTATCGTTATTTTTATGAAAAAAAATATTTTTGGGCTGAAGCCCCCCTCCAAAATTAAATTCTGGATCTGCTAGTGGGGTAGGTGATTGCAGTATTGAAATATAAAACTGTGAATAAAGGAATTAATTTTACCACTAGAAATATCACTCAAATTCATCATCAAAAATGTTGAAATTGGAGCTCATTCTGTCATTCTGTCAACTGCTAAGCTCTTATAAAGTATAGATAGCTTTTCCGACTTTCTGCAGCGATTGTTTTATAAGCAACGAACTTCATGGAGTGACAAATCCCAAACCGACGTAAGTACTTGACCTCATTTAAAAATTTTATTACTCAGTGGACAAAGACTTCGATGCTCTATACCATATATTCTATGAGTTTTTTCTTTAAGAGAACTCATTTTCAGCCTGATGAATTGTTTGAAGTAAATATATAAAGTTGGTAATAAGGGTAGTTTGTAAACCGTACTAAACGGTCAAATCATTTAACCAAACGGCTAAATGATGGAACTCTTTTACGCAGAGTTTAATATCCATTCAATCTAATTTAAGCAATACTGTAGGTTTCAAGAAAAGTAAAATATGAGTTTCTACTTAGTGCCGCGAGGTCCCTCTCGGGCTGCCAACTAATCCCTTATCCTTTTCTTCTACCTACCTAACCTTCTTCTTCTACTTCTTCTACCCTTAACCTTTTCTACTAGCCTCCCTTATAAATTTTAACTTACTCAGAACGGAATCAAATCGGTGCTGCTAGACCCGAGAATGATACAGCAGGCAACGCTTTAACAACATTGACCACCATAGTCTTTGATCATGGAACTATAGCGTTCTTAATACATGTTGTCATCGGTATATTTAAATGAATACCTTAAAAAGATCTACCATATTTTCTCAACGTATTAATATAATATTAATATTTTGTTATTTAAAGTCTTTGAAATAGTAAATAATTACTCGGTACAGTTGATGAACTCTATATTCAAATATAGTTGATAAAATCAAGAAGTTTACCTATAGTAAGGCAAATATATTTACAGAAAGGCATTACTTAGTTACTTGAATTATTCATTTATATATTTTAGGAACATAAAATTAACATAACTTATAATGATATAACAGGTACGGTTTCTTACTCAACAATCTTCATATATTCAATAACTTTAATTATAGCAAGTATAACTCCATTGTAAGATATACATAAAAGTATCAGGTATTCACTCAAAATCATTCATTTGTATTCATTAAAAACATCACTTATGGTGTATAAAAAATTAACATAACTTGTGATATCAGGTATAGTTTTTTTTTGGTATGTACATTCAGCAATCTTCATATACTCAATAAATTTAATTATAACACGTATAACTTCATTATAAGGTATATAGATTAACGTATCAGATAGTTAAACTTTATATTCTTCAATGAATATCACTTATAAAGTAAAAAAAACAAAAAAACTTGAGAAATTTTTAAAATATGAAAATCGTCTAATAAAGTTTAACACCGCCCAACTGTTTTTTTAAAAAGAATAAGTCAATTTTCGATTCGAACTAATTCAATTCGTTTTTCACTCTTGGTTGAACCATACGATAGAATTATGAAATACTTATGGAACTGATGGTGGTTAAAATGAACAGTCCCGCAAATATTACAGAAAAACGATTACGCTTGTCAATAGAATGTCTTCATAAAGACAACCAAAGATATAGTATGGAATTGGAAGTAGAATAAAGAAGGAAAGATGGAAGACCAAAGATAAAATGAAATAGACGAGCTGGATGAAAACCTGGCGCAATATGGTACAAGAGAAGAGCTTTGGATATTGATGCACATTCAGGTCAAAGAAAATTTGTAGTATAAAATTTTGGAATAAGTCATAATGACCGAGTGTTTTAAAGCGTACCTTTAGAAAAATTTCCCTTGTTTGTATGTCAGAAATGCTGAGGAATTAATAATAAAAAAAAAATAGAAAATCGAAACTACGCACGCATCAAATATTTTTTTTCCAAAATTATATGATGTTGAAATATGGTGTAAATTAAAAAAAAAGGTCAACAGATATTAAACTATGCAGTTTGTTAGTACCTCTTGCAAGGTTAAGAGAAGTGTGTTAGGCGATGTTACTAACTTACATAACGAGATGTTGCTGGAAAAGGATTTTACAAAAGATCAAATCCAAGACCCAGAAGGCCAGAACTGGATTCTGATCCACCAAGACCTAGCTTTCGTGTTCGAAATCCTGCGTTAGCCATTGCTTGTGCTATGCTTTTCGAAGGCATTATATCTTCGTCTTCTTCTGAATCGAAAATTCCTGTGTGGGAAAAAACACTCTGAGAATCATCAGGCGAAGTGGATATAATATGTGATTCAATTTTCTTGGTTCCACTTGAAGTTGATTCAGTTTTGCTTTTATGGACTTCACTTTTGGAACTGAAGGGTACGTTACTGAACGATACAACGGAGCCACCAGTTTCTGGACCTGAAAACGTAGTTTTCCAAACGGCAGGCCCAGAGGAAGACGAAGCACTGCTTGTGAATACTCTTCTCTTTATGGATTTCAAATTATTGTTCCCGTCAGATCCCGATTCACTTTTTTCCTCAGTTACTACAGTCGATGTCGGAGAAGCCAAGGCACCTAGAAATATAAGTCAGCTTATTAATAATGATATTTAAATTCAACCTTATTTTAAATCCAGAAGATATTTTTTTCCTTTTACTTAACCATAAATGAAATACAAATATTACGATGGTAAACAATTTCTAATTCTAATGTTTTAACAGAATTCAAGGTCCACTGAGACCAAATAAACGAATCTTGTTAAAACTTGTTAAAATGTATGTATGTAAACGATCTCGCTAGTTGGTTACTGCGGATCTCATAAAGTCCACTTGGTTGCGCCGATTTCCTGAAAGTATGCAAGTAGCCATAGCAGCAAATGACCTACAGGACTATGGATTATTACCCACAAGCTAATGGCTGCTTTGAAAGGTAGTACCTTACGCTCAAGACGGCCCAACAGTAACGCCAGGAAAAGTTTGTTACCCATGGTACTTCTTGGTCTTCGCTTGGTTGGTTGACGAGATGTCAACGTTGTCATCGCAGCGGAAACCTTTGGACAACCTCTGTGGCGTCTAGGTGAACTGTTAGAAAATAATACACTGCGGCAGAGCACTGAGGAGTTTGTTCGCAAACTTAGGGAGCAATTAGAGAGACTTAGGCCAGCCACCCATCTGGCATCGAGGGTGAAGGCATTCATTCATTCAGATGTGTCATCGAGCTTCCGTATTTTTTTGGTCAGGGTCCAGCGGTCGTTCACTCGGTCTTATACTGGTCCCTATAAGGTTCTAAAGAGAGACAAGAAGACATTCGTCCTCCAATTTTCAAATTGCCCCAAGACCGTTACTATCGACAGATTGAACCCAACCTTCTTGCTACAGGATCAATACTCAAGTTCCAGCCAACCAAACCTCCAAGTATACTTTGGTATAATGCACTCAAAACTCCGCCAAGGCATACAACCAGATTCCT